AATTTGATGTGATTCTCCACTGGTCAGTGCAGCTCCAAAATCAGCAAGATGTGTAGGATCATCTATAACTCTTTTACCAGCCTCAATGATCTGAGCCAATGACTCTCTGTGGGACAAAAGGATTATGTAATAAAAATGTACTAAAGTCCATGGTTGTTTTCAAAAAAAATGGCTCCGAAATCATTTTTGACATTTTCTGATGCCCTTATGTTAATGTAGAAATTTTGAGCTAATTCCGACTTCATTTTTTCATGTTACAGCCATTTTAAAAATGCTAAAAATCTGAAAAATACCCCAAGGCTATAGCATAATGGTCTTTTCTGGAAAATGGCTCCAAAATAACCCAAAAATTTTATTCCATTTTCTGATGCATATTGATGACAACACGTGGTTTCCGTATACTCTTGGGTATGGTGAAAAAATAAAATGGCCTTCAACAATGAAGTCCGTAACAATCTTCAGGAACAGATGGCCCGCTACATGGAGGGACTCAAGCAGTCAGAGAAACCACCTACAAGCCAGCAAAGACCCAGAAACACCAAGTGAGCATTTTATGAACATCTATACAGTATTTAATTAGTTTAATCCCCTCCCACAAAGAGGCGTGGCTTACATTAATACATTTTTTATTCTACAGGGCACCACTCTCAATAAAGCACATTAATCCAAACACTGTATGTATTACGTAGAAACATGTAAGCTGTAGCTTATTAAATTTCATTTCATTCTAGTCAGCATCAACCTCAATGAAGGCTAAACCAGTGGCGGCCATTACTCCTCTCTCCTCTACTGCTCTCACTTCTCCTCCTCCTAAATCATCAACTGTTCTCTCTCGTCAAGCCACAGTCCCTCCCCTCAACTTTAATACAACTTCATCAAGTGGGTTACTATTAATAATAATGTTACTATTAATAGATATTGTATTGGTGTTATTTACATCATGTAATATGTTACTATTAATAGATTGTGACATTCTCATGTTACTATTAATAGAATATGTCACTTTTAATAGATTATGTTACTATTAATAGATTGTGAATTAATTGTTACTATTAATAGGTACAGGTGCTCATAATGCAGTACAGAATACTGCTCCTCCTCTTCAATCATCAACTCCTAAACCACTAGCAAGTACTGCATTATTTTAATAGAAAATGATTTATAAATAATGTGAATTTTAGGATCGTTTTCATATTTATCACCACCACCATACTCTCCCCCTCCTCCTCCATCATTCCATCAGACCACACCTCCTTCACCACACCCACATATACAGGTAACTGGCCATTAGTTGCATTTAAAGAAATATTGGCAATGCTTTAATGTCAATTTTGCTTCATTTTGTATGCATGTGTGTGTGTGTGTGTGTTGGCTACAAAATTGATATTTAAAAGCAGCTGCTTTAGCTGATATTAATTCCTCTCTATTATAGTTTATAGTTTTAATTATTATTAAACATCATAATTCATAATGATTTAATATTTATTATAATATCAGGTATCCTCATCTCTGAGTGAGTTACAGTTGAAGAGGCTGAAGGTGATGGATG